TAGGAAGGAGAGATTAGGGATTAGGGGTTAGGAATTTGAGTTTATTGTTTTTTGCTTCTTTTGCTCTACCTACTCGTGATTCTTATCCTATTTTTTTTCATTTATTGTTATTTTTTATCTTTTGAATTTTCATTTCTATGTGTGTAACTAATTTAATGTGTGCTTTGATTTCAGTTGTTAGTGGAATGAACGAGATAAGCTTAAAAACGGAGTTTAGAAGTGAAAAGATAAGTATATATATTTGTCCAAATTTGTTTGACTTTTTTTTACATGTAAAATGTTTTTTTACACATGACTATTTCTACTTCTTTTTTGTGTTTTTTACTTGTTATGATCATTGTTTCTATTATTTTCAATCCCTAACACTCTCATTATCCCATTGTTTTATTTTCATTTTTTTTTTTGTTGTTTTAGTGTTTTACACAACCTATAATTGCATAACATTTCTTTGATTATGTGTTTTGTTTGCTTTTCTATTAGATTAATTATGTGTTATTTCTTTTTTTTTTATTATCTTTCTATTGAAATTGTTTAATGTAGGAAACATAATTGAATTACTTGAAGAGAGAGCAAATCGTTAAATCATGGAGGAAAATTAGGAGTTTGTAACATGTAAAAGATACTAATAGAATATAGAATTCAAATAAGGTTTAAGGCTTAGAGCTTTGGAGGCTTGAGGCTTATGGGCTATCGGACTCATGGGTTTTTGGGGTAATAGTTAGGGGTTAGGGATTTGGGCTTTACGGAGTAGGGATTAGGGCTTATGGAGTAGGGAGTAGGGAGTAGGGATTAGGGATTAAGGAGTAGGGAGTATAGGGAGTAGGGAGTAGGGAGGAGGGATTAGAGATTAGGGATCAGAGATTAAGGATTAGGGATTATGGATAACGGATTAGGGGTTAGGGATTTGAGTTTATTGTTCTTTTGCTCTACCTACTCATCATTCTTATCTTATTTTTTATTTATTTATTGTTATTTTTTATCTTTTGAATTTTCATTTCTATTTGCGTAACTAGTCTAATGTGTGCTTTGATTTCAGTTGTTAGTGGAATGGATGAGATAAGCTTAAAAGCGGAATTTAGGAGTGAAAAGATAAGTATATTTATTTGTCCAAATTCAATTGACTTTATTTTACATGTAAAATTTGTTTTACACATGACTATTTCTACTTGTTTTTGTGTTTCTTATTCGTTATGATCATTATTTCTATTATTTTCAATTCCCAACACTCTCATTATCCCACTATTTTCTTTCTATTTTTTGTTGTTGTTTTCGTGTTTTACACAACCTATAATTGCATAACATTTCTTTTATTATATTTTGTTTGTTTTTCTATTAGATTAATTATGTGTTATTTTTTTTTTATTATTTTTCTACTGAAATTGTTAAATGTAGGAAACATAATTTAATTACTTGGAGAGGGAGCAAATGGTTAAATCATGGAGGAAAATTAGGTGTTTGTAGCTTGTAGAAGATACTAATAGAATATATAATTCAAATATGGTTTAAGTCTTAGGGCTTTGGAGGCTTGAGGTTTATGGGCTTTCGAGTTAATAGTTAGGGGTTAGGGGTTAGGGATTTGGGCTTTAGGGAGTATGGAGTAGGGAGTAGGGCTTAGGGATTAGGGATTAGAGATTAAGAATTAGGGAGTAGGGAGGAGGGATTATGGATAACGGATAACGGATTAGGGGTTCGGGATTTAGGTTTATTGTTCTTTTGCTTTTTTTGCTCTACCTACTCGTCATTCTTATCTTATTTTTTTTTTCATTTATTGTTATTTTTTGTCTTTTGAATTTTCATTTGTATGTGCGTAACTAATCTAATGTGTGCTTGATTTCAGTTGTTAGTGGAATAGACGAGACAAGCTTAAAAACGGAGTTTAGAAGTGAAAAGATAAGTATATCTATTTCTCCAAATTCGTTTGACTTTTTTTTACTTGTAAAATGTGTTTTACACATGACTATTTCTACTGCTTTTTGTGTTTCTTACTTGTTATGATTATTGTTTATATTATTTTTAATCCCCAACACTCTCATTATCCCACTGTTTTTTTTTCATTTTTAGTTGTTATTTTCGTGTTTTACACAACCTATAATTGCATAACATTTCTTTGATTATGTGTTTTGTTTGCTTTTCTATTAAATTAATTATATGTTATTTTTTTTTTTATTATCTTTCTATTAAAATTGTTAAATGTAGAAAACATAATTTAATTACTTGGAGAGGGAGCAAATGGTTAAATCATTGAGGAAAATTAAGATTTTGTAGCACGTAAAAGATACTAATAGAATATAGAATTTACATAGGGTTTAAGGCTTAAGGCTTTGGAGGCTTGAGGCTTATGGGTTATCGGACTAATGGGCTTTTGGGATTTTGGGTTAATAGTTAGGGTGAGGGATTTGGGCTTTAGGGAGTAGGGATTAGGGATTACGGATTACGGATAACGGATTAGAGGTTAGGGATTTGGATTTATGGTTCTTTTGCTCCACCTTCTCATCATTTTTGTCCTATTTTTTTTCATTTATTGTAATTTTTTATCTTTTGAATTTTAATTTCTATGTGCGTAACTAATCTAATGTGATTTGATTTCAGTTGTTAGTGGAATGGACGGGATAAACTTAAAAGCGGAGTTTAAGAGTGAAAAGATAAATATATCTATTTGTCCAAATTTGATTGACTTTCTTTTACATGTCAAATGTATTTTACACATAACTATTTCTACTTCTTTTTTGTATTTCTTACTTGGTATGATCATTGTTTTATTATTTTCAATCCGCAACACTCTCATTATCCCACTGTTTCTTTTCATTTTTCGTTGTTGTTTTCGTGTTTTACACAACCTATAATTGCATAGTATTTTTTTAATTATGTGTTTTGTTTGCTTTTCTATTAGATTAATTATGTGTTATTTTTTTTTTATTATCTTTGTATTGAAATTGTTAAATGTAGGAAACATAATTTAATTACTTGGAGAGGGAGCGAATGGTTAAATCATGTAGGAAAATTAGGAGTTTGTAGCATGTAAAAGATATTAATAGAATATAGAATTCAAATAGGGTTTAAGACTTAGGTCTTTGGGGGCTCGAGGCTTATGGGTTATCGGACTTATGGGCTTTTGGGTTAATAGTTAGGGGTTAGGGATTTGAGCTTTAGGGAGTAGGGAGTAGGGATTAGAGATTAAAGATTAGGGATTAGGGAGTAGGGAGGAGGGATTAGAGATAACGGATTAGGGGTTTGGGATTTGGGTTTATTGTTCATTTTGCTTCTTTTGCTCTTCCTACTCGTCATTCTTATCCTATTTTTTTTTTCATTTACTGTTATTTTTTATCTTTTGAATTTTCATTTCTATATGCGTAACGAATCTAATGTGTGTTTTGATTTCAGTTGTTAGTGGAATGGACGAGATGAACTTAAAAACGGAGTTTAGAAGTGAAAAGATATGTATATCTATTTGTCTAAATTTGATTGATATTCTTTTATGTGTAAAATATGTTTTACACATGATTATTTCTAGTTCTTTTTGTGTTTCTTACTTGTTATGATTATTGTTTTTATTATTTTCAATCCCTAACACTCATTATTCCACTGTTTTTTTTTCATTTTTTGTTGTTATTTTCGTGTTTTACACAATCTATAATTGCATAGCATTTATTTGATTATGTGTTTTGTTTGCTTTTCTATAAGATTAATTGTGTTATTTCTTTTTTTATTGTCTTTGTGTTTAAATTGTGATATATAGGAAACATAATTTAATTTCTTAGAGAGGGAGCTAATGGTTAAATGATGGAGGAAAATTAGGAGTTTGTAGCTTGTAAAAGATACTAATAGAGTAGAGAATTCAAATATGGTTTAAGGCTTAGGGCTTTGGAGGCTTATGAGCTATCGGACTTATGGGATTTTGGGGTTTTGGGTTAATATTTAGGGGTCAGTGATTTGGGCTTTGGGGAGCGGTGATTAGGGCTTGGGGAGTAGGTATTAGGTATTAGGAATTAGGGATTGAAGATTAGGGGTTTGGGGATTAGGACTTTGGGCTTAAGGAGTAGGGATTAGGGATTACGGATTACGGATTAGGGATTTGGATTTATGTTTCTTTTGCTTCTTGTGCTCCAACTTCTCATCATTCTTGTCCTATTTTTTTCATTTATTGTTGTTTATTATCTTTTGGATTTTCATTTTTATATGAGTAACTAATCTAATGTGTATTTTGATTTCAGTTATTAGTGGAATGACGGAGATAAGTTTGCAAAGCGGAGTTTAGGAGTGAAAAGATAAGTATATCTATTTGTCCAAATTCCATTGACTTTCTTTTACATGTAAAATATTTTTTACACATGACTATTTCTACTTCTTTTTGTAATTTTTACTTGTTATGATCATTGTTTCTATTATTTTTAATCCCCAATACTCTCATTATTCCACTGTTTTTTTTTTCATTTTTCGTTTTTGTTTTTGTGTTTTTCACAACCTATAATTGCATAACATTTATTTGATTATGTGTTTTTTTTGTTTTTCTATTAGATTAATTATGTGTTATTTCTTTTTTTATTATCTATTTGTTGAAATTGTTAAATGTAGGAAACATAATTTAATTTCTTGGAGAGGGAGCAAATAGTTAAACCATGGAGGAAAATTAGGAGTTTGTGGCATGTAAAATATACTAATAGAATATAGAATTCAAATAGGTTTGAAGGCTTAGGGCTTTGGAGGCTTGAGGCTTATGGGCTATCGGACTTATGGGCTTTTGGGGTTTTGGGTTAATAGTTAGGGGTTAGGGATTTGGGCTTTAGGGAGTAGGGAGGTGGGATTAGGGATTAGGGAGGAGGGATAATGGATAACGGATAACGGATCAGGGGTTAGGGATTTGGGTTTAATGTGGTGCAGGTGCTTTGTTGGGGTTTGTGGTGCTAATGCTGTGAGGGGTTTGTGTTGGGCTTGACCAGTCTGTTCATATTCCAGCTGGTCATAACCTTTTTTGTCTGTGGGCACTCTCATGGGTTGGGGTGATGATGGCTGTTGTGGAGGGTATGCCCTACTGTTTTTGGTATGGATCTTCTTGTGAAGACTTCAAAGGTTTTTTCTTATTGAAGGGTTAAAGCCAATTTTTTTGGCCTTTTCCTTCTTCTGGTTTTCTTGCTCTTGGAGGTGCAGCCTTGGTGCTGCTGTGCTCTATCTTGGCTTTTTTGGTGCACTGTTCATGTGCACTGCTGTTTTGTTGCTGCTGCTGCTGGCTCTCCTCTTTTTCTTTTCATCCTTCAGCGGGTGTTTAATGGTTTCTCAGCTGGTCTTGTGGTCTCTCAGCTGTTGTGTTCTTCTGTTTTCTGCTGGTTCTTGGTCTGCTGCCAGGCCTTCATGGCAGGCTGCCCTGGAGCTGGGCTCTGTAAATGCTGCTGTTCAACTGGGCTTTCATGGTCTTCTCTCTGTTGTTCTCAGCTGGGCTTCCAGCTGATTTTTCTATCTTTCATGCTCTGCTTGTTCTCTGCTGCGGTTTTCCTGCTGGATTTTCAGCTGGATTTCTGCTATCTTTCATGGTTTTCTGCTGCTGCTGGTGGTTCTTTGCTGACTCTCAGCTTGCTTTTCAGCTGAGCCTTTATTATGGCTTTCTTTTATAGTTGCTGCTGTTATTGGTCTTCAACGGTTCCATCCAGATTTTCTGTTTTCTGCGACTGTTTTCCAGTTGGAATCTCAGCTGGTTTTCAGTTGTTTGTCTTCCTTTTGCGGCTTTATGTTGATCATGATTGTTGTGCTGTTCCTGGGCATTCTATGCATTTTGAAGCTGTGGGCTGTGGCTTGTCCGCTTTCTTCCTTTTGCTGCCTATCTTGCTGTTTTGCTCTTCTCAGCTGGTCCTTGGGCTTCAGCTGCTGTGCCTATTTTTGTTCCAACGGGTTTCTGCTGGTCTTCTTGGGCTTGTGCTCTGTTCAGCTGGATCCTGATGCTGCTGCTGTGGTCTTGGCTGCTTTGGTTTTCTTTCAGCTGGTTCGCAGCTGGTTTGCTGGCTTCTCTGCTGGATTTTAGCTGGTCTCTCAACTGGGGTTCAGTGCTACTGTTATGCCTCTCAGCTGGGTCATATTTGACTATTGTTGGTGCTTGCTTTGAAGGTTTCTTTTGCTGCTGGTCTTCTCAGCTGGTTCCTTTTCTGGGTGACTGCTGGGCAGTCTCTACACTAAGAAGATTTTTTCTGTTTCTCTTTGGTTTTTTAGCCAACTTTGGCCTTCTCCTTTTGTTTATTATGCTTTGCTTTTTGCTTCTTGTAATCTTGTTCTCTTTTTTTAATAATATTTCTCCCCACTTAAAAAAAAATGTTCATTTGCTTCTTTTGCTCTACCTACTCGTCATTCTTATCCTATTTTTTTTTCATTTATTGTAATTTTTTATCTTTTGAATTTTCATTTCTATGCGCGTAACTAATCTGATGTGTGCTTTGATTTCAGTTGTTAGTGGAATGGACGAGATAAACTTAAAAATGGAGTTTAGAAGTGAAAAGATAAGTATATCTATTTGTCCAAATTCGATTGACTTTCTTTTACATGTAAAATGTGTGTTATACATGACTATTTCTACTTCTTTTGTGTTTCTTACTTGTTATGATCATTGTTTCTATTATTTTCAATCCCCAACACTCTCATTATCCCACTGTTTTCTTTTCATTTTTCGTTGTTGTTTTCGTGTTTTACACAACCTATAATTGCATAGCATTTCTTTGATTATTTGTTTTGTTTGCTTTTCTATTAGATTAATTATGTGTTATTTCTTTTTTTATTATCTTTCTATTAAAATTGTTAAATGTAGGAAACATAATTTAATTACTTGGAGAGGGAACAAATAGTTAAATCATGGAGGAAAATTAGGAGTTTGTAGTATGTAAAAGATACTAATAGAATATAGAATTCAAATAGAGTTTAAGGCTTAGGGCTTTGGAGGCTTGAGGCTTATGAGCTATCGGACTTATGGGCTTTTGGGGTTTTAGGTTAATAGTTAGGGGTTAGGGATTTGGGCTTTTGAGAGTAGGATTAGGGCTTAGGGAGTAGGGAGGAGGGATTAGGGATTAGGGCTTTGGGAGTAGGGAGTAGGGAGGAGGGATTAGGTATTATGGATTACGGATAACGGATTAGAGGTTAGGGGTGAGGGAGTTGGGTTTATTGTTCTTTTGCTCTACTTATTCGTCATTCGTCATTCTATTTTTTTTCATTTATTGTTATTTTTTATCTTTTAAATTTTTATTTCTATGTGCGTAAATAATCTAATGTGTGTTTTGATTTCAGTTATTAGTAGAATGGACGAGATAAGGTTAAAAGTGGAGTTTAGGAGTGAAAAAATAAGTATATCTATTTGTCAAAATTCAATTGACTTTCTTTACATGCAAAATGTGTTTTACACATGATTATTTGTACTTTTTTTTGTGTTTCTTACTTGTTATGATCATTGTTTCTATTATTTTCAATCCCCAACACTCTCATTATCCCACTGTTTTTTTTTAATTTTTCGTTGTTGTTTTCGTGTTTTACACAACTTATAATTGCATAACATTTATTTGATTATGTGTTATTTTTTTTTATTATCTTTCTATTGAAATTGTTAAATGTAGGAAACATAATTTAATTACTTGGAGAGGGAGCAAATGGTTAAATCATGGAGGAAAATTAGGAGTTTGTAGCATGCAATAGATACTAATAGAATATAGAATTCAAATAGGGTTTTAAGGCTTCGGGCTTTGGAGGCTTGAGGCTTATGGGCTATCGGACTTATGGACTTTTGGAGTTTTGGGTTAATAGTTAGGGGTTAGGGAGTAGGGATTAGGGATTAGGTCTTTGAGAGTAGGGATTAGGGGTTAGGGATTTGGGTTTATTGTTTATTTGCTTCTTTTGCTCTACCTACTCATCATTCTTATCTTATTTTTTTTTCATTTATTGTTATTTTTTATTTTTTGAATTTTTATTTCTATGTGCGTAATTAATCTAATGTGTGCTTTGTTTTCAGTTGTTAGTGGAATGGACGAGATAAACTTAAAAGCGGAGTTTAGGAGTGAAAAGATAAGTATATCTATTTGTCCAAATTCGATTGACTTTCTTTTACATGTAAAATTTGTTTTACACATGACTATTTCTACTTGTTTTTGTGTTTCTTATTTGTTATGATTATTGTTTCTACTATTTTCAATCCCCAACACTCTCATTATCCCATTATTTCCCTTTTATTTTTCGTTGTTGTTTTCGTGTTCTACACAACTCATAATTGCATAGCATTTATTTGATTTTATGTGTTTAGTTTATTTTTTTATTTGATTGATTATGTTTTATTTCTTTTTTTATTATCTTTCTATTGAAATTGTTAAATATCGTAAACAAAATTGAATTACTTTGAGAGGGATCAAATGGTTAAATCATGGAGGAAAATTAGGAGTTTGTAGCTTGTAAAAGATACTAATAGAATATGAAATTCAAATAAGGTTTAAGGCTTAGGGCTTTGGAGGCTTGAGGCTTATGGGCTATCGAACTTATAGGCTTTTGGGATTTTGGGTTAATAGTTAGGGGTTAGGGATTAGGGCTTCAGGTGTAGCGATTAGGGAGTAGGGATTAGGGATTAGGGAGTAGGGGTTTGGGATTAGGGGTTAGGGATTTAGGTTTATTGTTCTTTTGCTCTACCTACTCGTCATTCTTATCCTATTTTGTTTCATTTATTGTTATTTTTTTTTCTTTTGAATTTATATTTCTATGTGCGTAACTAATCTAATGTGTGTTTTGATTTCAATTATTAGTGGAATGGACGAGAGAAGCTTAAAAGAGGAATTTAGAAGTGAAAAGATAAGTATATCTATTTGTCCAAATTCAATTGACTTTCTTTTACACGTAAAATTTGTTTTACAAATGACTATTTTTATTTTTTTTTGTGTTTTACTTGTTATGATCATTGTTTCTATTATTTTTAATCTCCAACACTCTCATTATCCAACTGTTTTTCTTTCATTTTTCGTTGTTGTTTTTGTGTTTTACACAACATATAATTGCATTACATTTTTTTGATTATATGTGTTTTGTTTGCTCTTTTATTTGATTAATTATGTTTGAATTTATTTTTTATTATCTTTCTATTGACATTGTTGAATGTCGGAAATAAAATTTAATTACTTGGAAAAGGAGCAAATGATTTAATCATGAAGGAAAATTAGGAGTTTATAGCATGTAAAAGATACTAATAGAATATAGAATTCAAATAAAGTTTTGGGTTTAGGGCTTTCTATCGGACTTGTGGGCTTTTGGGTTAATAGTTAGGGGTTAGGGATTTAGGGCTTCGGGTGTAGGGATTAGGGATTAGGGATTAGGGTTTAGGGTTTAGGATTAGGGATAACGGATTAGGGGTTATGAATTTGGGTTTATTATTCTTTTGTTTTCTTTGCTCCACCTCATCATTTTTGTCCTATTTTTTCATTTATTGTTATTTGTTATCTTTTGAATTTTCATATTTATGTGCGTAACTAATGTAATGTGCGTTTTAATTTCAATTGTTAGTGGAATGGACGTGATAAATTTGCAAAGTGGAGTTTAGGAGTGAAAAGATAAGTATATCTATTTGTTCAAATTCAATTAGTTTTCTTGTACTTATAAAATTTGTTTTACACGACTTTTTCTACTCTTTTTTGTGTTTCTTACTTGTTATTATTATTGTTTCTATTATTTTTAATCCCAAACACTCATTATTCCATTGTTTCTTTTTTATTTTTCGTTGTTTTCGTGTTTTAGATATCCTACAATTGCATAGCATTTCTTTGATTATATGTGTTTTGTTTACTTTTTGATTAGATTAATTATATATATATTTTTTATTATTTTTTTATTAAAATTATTAAATGTTGGAAACAAAATTTAATTACTTGCAGAGGGAGCAAATGGTTAAATCATGGAGGAAAATTAGGTGTTTGTATCATGTAAAAGATACTAGCAGAATATAGAATTCAAATAGGGATTAGGGCTTAAGGCTTTGGAGGCTTGGGGTTTACGGGCTATCGGACTTGTGGGCTAATAGTTAGAGATTATGGCTTAGGGAGTAGGTATTAGGGATTAGGGCTTATGGAGTAGGGATTAGGAATTAGGGATTAGGGATTAGGGATTAGGACTTAGGGTTAAGGGATTAGGGATAACGGATTAGGGGTTAGGGATTTGGATTTATTGTTCTTTTGCTTCTTTTACTCCATCTCCTCATCATTCTTATCCTATTATTTTTGTTTATTATTGTTTGTTATTTTTTGAATTTTCATTTTTATGTGTTTTGATTTTAGTTGTTAGTGGAATGGACGAGATATGTTTGTAAAACGGAGTTTAGGAGTGAAAAGATAAGTATATCTATTTATCCAAATTCGATTGACTTTTTTTACATGTAAAATATTTTTTACACATTACTATTTTTGCTTCTTTTTGTATTTCTGTTTTGATCTTTGTTTTTATTATTTTTAATCCCCAACACTCTCATTATCCCAGTGTTTTCTTTTCTTTTTTGTTGTTATTTTCGTGTTTTATACAACCTATAATTACATAGCATTTATTTAATTATATGTGTTTTGTTTGCTTTTTTATTAGATTAATTATTTATTATTTCTTTTTTTATTATCTTTCTATTGCAATTATTAAATGTAGGAAATAAAATTTAATTACTTAGAGAGGAAGCAAATGGTTAAATCATGGAGGAAAATTAGGAGTTTGTAGTATGTAAAAGATACTAATAGAATATAGAATTCACATAGGGTGTAGGGCTTTGGAGGCTTGGTTCTTACGGGCTGTCGGACTTATGGGCTTGTTGGGTTAATAGTTAGGGGTTATGACTAGGGCTGTCAGTCGAACGAGCCCGAGCCGAGTTTGAAAAACTTGTTTCTTAATTGAGTTTTAAAAATTGTTCAAGTTCGGCTGTTTAAGAAACGAGTCAAGTCTGAACGTGCCAAACTCGAGTCGAGTCGAGTCCGAGTATTTGCACATAAACGAGCCGAGCTTGTAGGGCTTGTTTTCTAAACAAGCCTAAGAACATGTTCAAGTTCGGGCTCGTTTAAAAAACGAACCAAGCTTAAACGAGCCGAACTCAAGCCAAGCTCGAGTAGTTCAGTTTGATTAACAGTCTTAGTTATGACTTAGGGAGTAGTGATTAGGAATTTGGGATTTGGGATTAAGGCTTAGGGATTATG